GGATCATTAACCTTCATCCCCAAAACACATTTTTTCATAGCTTTGTCATTATTAGTCAAAATTTAATCCGAGTCATCGCTTGTGTCTATGTCATTATTAGTGACCCTTCCCACTTCTTGTCGCACATAACGTGTAAGTTCCGGACTGGTATAAGATGACATGTCAAGAAAATCCTTACTCTGCCCATACACTATCCAGTTTAATTGATTGGTTGCACGACCCGAAATTAGTTCAGAACACTGATTGTATTTTTTCATGTGAAAACACTTGCCACATTGTTTACAAGCACCCAACCGTTTGGCATGACGACGTTTAGCAAAAGTACTTCTGCCGCACAATGATTTTGCTTGTGCTTCTCGAATTTTAATTTTTCTGACTACTCTTGCTTTTCTCATGATCACAACATGCACATCAGATAGAAATGTGCGCAAGACTCCCAAACTAAACCAAAAAATTTTAACATCCATGCTTTCTATGGTTTAAGACTCACTATATGGTTCTTTAATGTCTGTCAATCACAAAGACGATTGAAGCTGCATTTAATGTGATCATGAAATATAAGCAAAAATGCTGTAAAAATACGCAATCCAGAACAATTTTTTTTAAAAAAAATACAAAACTATAACAAACTGGAACCGTAGATCACACCCCCCTAACCTAAACTGAACATTGTCCCTAATGTTTTGAATTTACTAGTGTGTGGAGTTTGGAGATCNAACTAGAATCGTAGATCACACCCCCAACCTAAATCGAACATTGTCCCCAATATTTTGAATTTACCAGTGTGTGGAGTTTAGAGATCAAGTTATAGGGTAGAGATCTGTTCAACTGTCGAAACCTACAAAGAAAATACACAAATTAATCTTTTCTATGCAGATCTGTTTTCGCTAGGACGAAAACCCTTGATTCTAAGTGCGGACAGAAGAAGAAGAGCCATATACAAATAGAGTAAATAAATATAGATCATGAAACAAAGGACTGGGTCTTCGGGGAATATGGTCATGGGATTGTTGGGAGTTGAGTTGAGTTGTGTTACAGAGAATAGCACAACAGAAAAAAGAAGAAGAAAAAAACAAAGAAAAAGGGTAAAGGGGTACTGGTAGAGATCTGTTCAGCTGCCGAAACCTACAAAGAAAACGCCACAATTAGTCAACTCGAGGGAGATCTGGGTTAGGCTGGAAACCCCTCACCCTAAGTGCGAGCTGAAGAAGAGCATCCATGTACAAATACAAACATATCAGACAAATTATTAAACAAAGGACTAGGTCGTTGGCGTATATGATCATGGATTTGCAGGGGGTGAGTTATTTTTATAGAGAACAGAGAGAATGAAGACGACGAAGAAGAAGAAGAAGAAGAAGAAGAAGAGAAAAAGAAGGGAAGAAGAAGAAGAAGAGGGAGAGCAACACCGGTGGATGGGGGAAAAAGGAAAAAAATGTTGGAAGCCTTATAAAGGCATCCTAGTTTTTATTTTATTTTTTTTAATTTTTTAATTTAATTTAATTTTTTTATTAATTTTATTTTTTTGATTGTCAGCAGGCGCGAATATTCGCGCGGAATATTCCCACAAACATTTTTTTTTGGTACCTGATTTGTTTGAGTGTCGGCAGGCACGGATATCTGTGCAAAATATTCCCACAAACATTGGTGTAAGATGCAAATAGTGCAACCTCACCCCCTAACCAGATTCATGCATTGTCCTCAATGAAACAAAAAATGTATGATATTCAATGACGGACAGTAAAAGATTAGTAGGGTTAGAGAACACCTCGTACTTGAGCTTTGACAAAAGCACCAATATTTGTGACTAAGAAGAACAAAACTTATACGATAAAAAAACATAATTTACATGGAATAAAAATAAAGTAGGTAAATAAAAGCCTGTACATTGAAAGGTAGAAAAAACTAGTTATTCCTCCACAACTTCCATGTATATTGGATCCATTAAATTCTCCTCCACCAATTGTTCTTCAAAGCCCCCAAAAAATGGTTTAAGTCTTTGACCATTGACCTTGAATGTCTGGCCATTTTCGAGGTTTTAGATATCCATAGCTCCGTTGTGGTAGGCCACCTTGACAAAATAGGGGCCATCCCAACAGGATCGGAGTTTGCCTTGGAAAATGGAGAGGCGAGAATTGTCTAAGAGTACTTTTTACCTGGGCTCAAATGATTTCCTCACGATGGAGTTATCATGAAAGATTTTGACCCTTTCTTTTGAGATTTTGGAGCTCTCATACGCATCTTATCGAATCTCTTCCAACTCATTCAGCTCTAACTTCCTATGATCACCGACCATTCTCAAATTAAAATTTAAAGTCTTAATGGCCCGATAGGCCTTGTGTTCAATTTCGACTGGCAGGTGGCAAGCCTTTCCATAGACAAGCCAATAGGGAGACATGCCTAAAATAGTTTTAAAAGCAGTGCGGTATGCCCAGATAGCATCGGTCAA